GTAGATTTCAAAGAAGAATTTGTTTGGCTGTCTATCTCCATTCCCTGCCATGCTTAAGATGGTGTCATCTCCAACCCCTCTTAGAGTAAAATCTTAGAGCCACCTGGAATTCATTAAAGGGTAAGTATTAATAGGGCAATGAACTTGAACTAGATCGAGGAAACCTGAAATTTTTATTGTCTGCCTCTATCGGTATTTAATAGATGTTCGTTACAGAGTCACCAGAAAATCCAGTGAATATTACTGACTAGAGAATAGTTATACCATTCCTTAAACTTTTGAAGAGACTGTTAACGAAGCCCTGTTTATTCTTGCTTGGTTTTCACCTTTGATGCAGTTCAAATAGCGGTCACGAACCAAACCATTGACTCAGATCTTGATGTTCTTTGAAAAGTTCACTTTAGTTCAGTTACTATAACAGGCAGAATAATATTTTAAAGTTCATCAGATTGACAGTCTGAAGACCTGGACTCTACAGTTAAATAGTCGTGAACACAGGAACATCATCGACCCACTTTGGATCTGGGGTTCTTTGTTTGTAGATGGTTCAGTGACTTTCTATACCTCTCATGCCCCTTCTGATTCTAAAATGTTTTAAAATAGCCACATTGTACTTTTACTACCTGCATAACATTGTGGAGTTTGTGAAAAGGACCCTGCAATGGAGACAGAAGATCTTAAGATCAATCATAATTTCACTCCTTACTGCTTCTGAGACTTACACTAATATACTTAACTTTCTAAATCTGCTTTTTCAACTAAAAAATGGGTAAACAGTACTTCTGTGGCTTAAATAATGGATTATAGTTAGAATCAAGTGTAAAATTACACATAACTTGAAACTCCCTACAAAGCACAAGGACTGATTGCCTTTAAAATAGAAACCATATTATGAACTTTCACTACAATTTTTGAAATATTGCTCACCGTCTCAGTCAGCTTAGGCTGCTGTAACAGCATACCATGCCCTGGGTGGCTTAAATCACAGATGTTTATTTTTTATAGTTCTAGAGCAGTGATTCTCAACCTGTGGGTCGCGACCCCTTTGGGGGTTGAACAACCCTTTCACAGGGGTCACCTAAGACATAACAGTAGCAAAATTACAGTTATGAAGTAGCAACGAAAATAATTTTATGGTTGGGGGTCACGACAACATGAGGAACTGTATTAAAGGGTTGCAGCATTAGGAAGGTTGAGAACCACTGTTCTAGAAGCTGATAAGTCCAACATCAAAATGATAGCAGGTTTGGTTGTTGGCGAGGGTTCATCCTGGCTTGCAGGTGGCCACCTTCTTTTTGTACCCTCACGTGTTGGAGAGAAAGAACTCCCAATGACTCTTTCTCTTCTTATAAGGGCACTAATTTCATCATGGGGGCTCCACTCTCATGACCTCATTAAACCTAATTGCCTCAAAAAGGCCCCACCCCCTAATACCTTCACAGTAGGATTCGTGCTTCAACATATGAACATTTGGTCCATAACACTCACATTAATTCTGGGAGAAAGATATTACTACCAACGAGATATATTTTGATATCCCCAAAGAAAATAAATCTAAAAAGGAATTCAGATTATTAGTGGCTTGAGTGAGTGACCTTATTTTTGCCTTTCAAATCTTGACAAGAGGACAAATGACTCTCAAACTCAAAATTTCAATAGTTAAGCAGCTTTCTTGACTAATTCTGTGTGTTTTAAATATCCAGGAATGTGAGATCTCAGAGGCACTGTGAAGATTAGCTAGACCATCTTCTTGGTTTATAAGTGAGGGAGTTAAGACCACCAGAAATGGAATCTTTTAGCAAATTGCTGATTGTGAGTGGATCATGCTCCAAATTAATGGCCCTCCCTCTATATCATACCATTATTACCAGGCATTTCAGTATTCCTTGCTAGAGAGGTAGAGTATTGTTAGGGTTGTTCTTCCACCATGATTTATACAGAGGGTATGTAACATTCCCATCATTGTGGTCATTCTGTAGAGCAGCTGGAAGTCATAACAAGGAGCAGATTTTCTTCCCCCTTCATTCAGATGTGAGGAAACTAAACATTTAAGTTGCTAGGCAAAGGTCACATAGCTGGGAGGCAGAATAACTCGGTAAGTATGCAGGCTTTGACTAGATCGGACTGGGATGGAACCCTTTTCTATCACGTTGTAGCTGTGTGACCTTGGGACAAGTAGTTTTAGTGTCCTAGGCCTTCAATTCCACATCTGTAAAATGATAACAATCTAAAGATGGTCAAGTGCCTGGAACATAATAAGCATTACCCAGTTCCCAACGTTCTCAGTAGCAAACCAGGGACTAGCAAACACAGTCCTTACCTCCTTGTTCAGTGCACTCTTTAATACACTTCAGGTTACAGAGAGAACATTGTTTTGAACTGAGAATATTAAGTGCATTTTTAAAAGCCTTGTCTTCCAAAATCAATCTTTTCAGATTTTTTAATAATGCAAGAAAAGAGCTTGAAGTTGGCCCACAGAGATTTTTATGAACCAAAGGGTTATTTTTAATTGGATTTTGTGCCTGTTGTGATGGAAATAGTTGTTTCATAGGTTAAGCATTATGACTTTACTGCAAAATCAAGCCCAGAATGGGGTATAATGATGACATCACTCTTATTCTTCTTTTTCTTGACAAAACACTTTTAAAATGAAGAGAATGGGAATAAAGCCGCATCAAAATCACCCAGTTCTAAGGGTGGGTGGGGGAAGATCCCCCCTATAAAAATAGCTTTAAAATGATATATTCTCTATCCAAAGATCAAAACTAAGAATGACCCCCGCTGTCAGTAGGATAATAAGATTCTGTAGTTATTAAACACTTCTTTCTTCACTATTAAAACCAGAAATAGTGTCTTTGATCCTGGAACTTGCTTTCAACATTTGATCTCAAAGCATTTTTTCAGTTGCTGAACTAACAGGCTTCCTCTAGTTACTTAGTGATAAATCTCTTATAACTGTCTGTCTAAAAAAGCTTTTATTCATGCATCCGGATTAATTTAATTTTTCTAAACAATAAGAGGTGATTTCTAGTCTTCATGATGGCCCTGTTTAAAGACACAGGCAGTTCATTTCTGCAAAATGTAGCTTATGTCACTGGCTTGCTTTCAGTTCCAGAGAAACCCCAACCAAGGAATACAGGACTTGTGTTCGGTGACACCCTAAGAGAGAAATCGGGGAGCTGGGTGGATGGATAGTCTGTAGTGCTAAAAGCAAACAATGAATGCTTTCTCATCGGACTTCTTACTAAGGTTTCTTCTACGTGGTTCCTTTGTTTATTTTTTCTCTTTTATTCTCTCTCCTGTTCACTGGCACTTAATATGTGCTGCATGGACATTGATTGGTTTTGCTGATAGAATTTAGCTGAAGAAATTGTGAGGCAAATCCCGGTCCTGAATCAAATGGAAGTCACTAAACTCAACGAAGTCATGTATTCCATTACTGTCATGTACTAGTAAATATCATTACTTAAAAAACTGAAATCCATCCCCAAATAGTGTATCTTTAAAAACATTTCATTATTTCATTATTTTCTCAGTGAATCATAATGTGAGATTAGTAGATATGCTTATTTTTCTATCAAATTTTTCTAGTTATACTAAAAGCTATTTCTTCTTGCTTTGTGTTTAAGTGGAAGAGTGACATTTGTCTACTTTGTCTTTTCAATAATTTCCACAAAACAACTTTCTGAGATAATCTGTTCTAAACCAATTTAAATTTTATTTACAGAATTTAAACTGTCATAGATCCACTGGCATTTACTTTCTTGGTTACATTTCTTGCCCTCTTCTGGTTTTAACCTAGGAATCCCTGCCCTCTACAGCTGTTTAATGTCACTTTTATTCCTTCCCACTCAATATTTGGCCCCTTTTTGGCTGTGACTTATATTTTCTTTATTTTCTTAGAGTCAGTGCTTTTTAAAAAAAAATCCTCACCTGAGGATATTTTTCCATTTATTTTCAGATAGAGTGAGAGGGAGAGAGAGAGAGAAGGAGAGAGACACTGATTGGTTGCCTCACACACGCCCCCACCAGGGCCAGGGACCAAACCACAACCCAGGTATGTTCTCTGGACCGGATTTGAACCCACAGCTCTTTGGTTTGCAGGCCAATGCTCTAACTGCTGAGCCAAACTGGCCAGGGTGAGTCAGTACCTATAACTACACTCATTTCCTGCCCCTCCACTAGACTTAGGTTTTAGACACATTTCATAAATTTAAGAACTTGGTGAACATTGGAGGTGCATGAGGTCAGAGTGAAGAGCAGCCCTCACACAATGTAGTGCCCAGAGCAGCTTTCTCTCCAGAGGCTAATTCAGCCAGTGGCCACTCACTGACGGTGGTTGGCTAATGACCTGTGGTCAGATCTCTCCCCGAGCTCAGAGGTTACACGACTGCTAATAGCTACTGCATTAACAAGAAAGTGATAACTGTAAAAATCAGAGAACTCCTTAGGGGGGAAAAAACATGTGTAAATGTGGGAGACGTCCCAATGCTGTATTGACTGTGCCTATTTATGACACCAGGTTAATTCACTTGTCTTAGATCAATGCATAATGTTGAAGATTCTTCTTAAAATGTCACACCAGAATGTCTGTTAACTTGCCATTTTCCTTGCTTGCTATGACTCTAAAGAGCTTGAAAATTGATCCAGCCAGTCTGTTTTCTCTCCTCTTCTCTCCTCTCCTCTCCTCTTCCTCTCCTCTCCTCTCCTCTCCTCTCCTCTTCAGTCTCCTCTCCTCTTCTCTTCTCTTCTCTTCTCTTCTCTTCTCTTCTCTTCTCTTCTCTTCTCTTCTCTTCTCTTCTCTTCTCTTCTCTTCTCTTCTCTTCTCTTCTCTTCTCTTCTCTTCTCTTCTCTCTCCTTTCTCTCATTTCTTTTTCTCTTCTCTCTCCTCCTAATCTCTCACTTTCCCCCTGTCTTTGCCTCTTTCTCTCACTCTCTGTGAGGTTCGTTTGCTTGACTGATTCTGAGCGTTCATAATGACTGTTTGGCATATTCTACAGGCAAAGGTCCCGAGACCCTTTTTGCCGGCTATAACCTCAATGATAACGAATGGCACACAGTGCGTGTGGTTCGTCGAGGAAAAAGTTTAAAGTTAACAGTGGATGACCAACAGGCCATGACAGGTAAACCCTGCTGTCCCCATCGCCCTCTCTTTTTTTGAAGCTTTATACTTCCCCATTTCTTGCAGGTGACTCTGGAAATCAAGTGCACAACTTGAAGCTGATACACAGTTCAATCTTGTCTATGTGTGATTTGTCTTTTGGTTTTTCTTCTCTTTTTAAATTTTAATTTATTGGGGTGACATTGTTTAATAAAATTATGTAGGTTTCAAGTGTGCATTCCTATAATATATGATCTGTATATTGCATTGTGTGCCCACCACCCAAAGTCAAATCATCTTCTGTCACCAAATACTTGACCCCCTTTACCCTCTCCTACTTCCCCACACCCCTTCCTTCTGGTAACCAACATACTGTGGTCTGTGTCTATGAGTCTCTGTTTTATAGTCTACATAGGATTGAAATCATGTGGCTCTTAGTTTTTTCAGACTTATTTAGCTTAATATGATATTCTCAAGGCCCACCCATGTCGCAAATGGCAGTATTTCATCTTTTCTTATGTCTGAGTACTGCTCCATTGTATATATGTCATATCATCTATATCCAATTATCTACTGAAGGGCATTTGAATTGTTTCCATATCTTGAACACTATGAATAATTCTGCAGTTATATCTTTGCAAATAAATGCTTTCAAACTTTTGGGGTAGATACACAGAATAGGGGTTGCTGGGTCATATGGTAACTCCATTCTTAATTTTTTGAGAAACCTCCATACTCTTTTCCATAGCTATACCAGTTTACGTTCCCTTTCTCCACAACTTCTCCAACACTTGTTATTACTTGTCTTGCTGATAATAGCCATTCTAACAGGTGTGAGGTGGTATCTCATTGTAGTTTTGATCTGCATTTCCCTAATAGCTAGTGAAGTTGAGCATCTTTTCATGTATCTGTTGTCATTTGTATGTCTCCTTGGGGAAGTGTCTGTTCAGAACCTCTGCCCATTTTTTAATTAGGTTGTTTATTTGCTTGATGTTGAGTTGTATGAGTTCTTTATGTATTTTGGATACTAACCCCTTATCAGAGCTGAAGTTTGCAAATATATTCTCTCACTTGGTTGGTTGCCTGTTTGTTTTGTTGGAAATTTGTTTTGCTCTGCAGAAGCTTTCTAGATTGATATAGTCCCATTCATTTATTTTTGTTTTTATGTCTCTTTGCCTTTGGGGTCAAATTCATAAAATCTTCTCCAAGACCAAGGTCCATAAGCTTAGTACCCATTTTTTTCAGCAAAATATTTACTTACTAAGGAGCATGTTAAATGTTTTACCACTCAGGGCAACAGTTTTTATATAGTGTTTTTGTCTGTTTAATAATTCACTAAGAAGTTATAATTATAAAATATTTCAATTTTGTGGCTTTGTAAATATCTTAGTGTCTCATAAAATATTGAAGTCATTGTTTGGACGCCAGTTACTTTGTTTCTCATATATTTTGGTGATGAACAGCAGAAAGTTACAGTTTTTACTTCTAGGTAAATTGATAAATATGCTGAAATTCAGTCAGGTGGATTGCTTTTTCCTCATAAGCTATAATAGGTCATCTTTGGCCATTAAATCCAGATGGTTAAACTCTACTATTAAGGATATTAAGTTTAATCCCTGATTTGTAGATTCCTAACTGAGATGAGCCATACAAAGATCCACCCCAGAGGCAAAGGGGACCCAGTAAAAGAGGAATGAGTGGGCCTTTACATTCTGCTGAAAATAACTTCAAAGCACAAGACCTGCTGGGACATTAGCTTTTTTCCCCTTCTTTAGGGAACATGTCCATGATAATTATTTTAGTACAAGGCAAAAACAGTCCTTGTGTAGTGGAAAAGTGTCTGTTTTACATTCATCCAAGGCAGGGTTGGGGTGGGGGTTCTCATAATCAGAGACCTGCTGAGTCCATCAGTGTGGAAATATGCGTATGAAATTTTAACTTTTGATACAATTATTCCTGAGTTCAAATGAAGCAAGCTGCCAACTCATAGATCGCTTCATATTTTATTTCATTAGTCCTTAGTGGCTTTTCAGGAATTTATTTTCTACATGTGGGTGCAACTTCACTTTGTTTCAGATCATGTGAAGAGCTTTAAAGGGACCAGTTCCTAGTCTGACACCACAAAAGTCTGGGGAGCACAGTAATTTTTTTTTCTTAAAATATCTTCAGAGGACTGTCATGCAGCTGGTCCATGGACTGACTTTGAGAAACCACTGCGATGAATGTGCCCTTTTATTCTCTGAGGACGAAAATCAACCAAAGAACCATGAGCAGAAACCTTTATTCAAAAACGCCAAGCATGAGAAGGCTCTGAAGGGGCTGAGCTTAGGGAAGGAAGGCCGGATTTTTGCAGAGCTTTGGCCAAAGTGTAAGCTGAAGTTCAGCTAGTTTTAGTCAAGGGCAGTTCCAGGAAGATGAATGAATTGTTTTTTGTAGATTAGCACCCATTGTTTGGACAATTTTGATTTTGTGAAGAGAGGTAGAAATCGGCAGTTAAGGCCTAAGTGGCTTATGTGTCTTTGAAGTGTCATTATCACCAGAACTGAAAAGAGAACCTAGGTGTGTTGTTGGCTAGATTGTTTGCCTTTGATTCGTGGTCCGTTAAGTCTTACCAAAAGGATAGTTTGCCAAGTTTGCACTTTGAACTGCAAGAACTCTGCTGTTCTTGATCTACATGGAGCAAAGGGTCTTTGCTGACTCCTGCAGCCGAAAGGCAGTGGCCTTGTCTCCTTAGTTTGTGTCACCTAATTCTGTCTGAATCCGTGGACCTCCCCAGAGGGCAGGAGGCTGGCACTCAGTAAATCCCATCCGCGTTTTCCTGGTCAGTGGTGAGCCCCTCATTGTCTGTTTCAGCCCTCAGATGCATTCTTCTCCCTTCTTTTCTCTTTCTGGAACACCTTGAAAATCACATCTTTGTGAGAGATTGGAAAAAATGTTGTCTTCCAGCAGCTTCCACTTTCTGCCAAGAAGAAGCCTTTGAGGCAAAGTGCTCCAAGGGACTTGGCCGGCTTTTAAGAATTGAAAGAAGAGCAAAATATAAACTAGCATTTCAGTGAATTAGCCTGCCATTTACTCTTTCTCAAAATTGCCAAGGCCTTAGCAGAAATCGGAGTCTACCCTCTGCTCTGTAGGAACTGAAGATTGTTTTTCAGTTAGGGGAGCAAACATGCTCTTTCCCAGAGTTATAAAGATGACATGGGAACACAAGCCAAGTCAACACTGACGTTTCACCTAAATTAGCCATTTTCCTCCCAGTATCCCCCTCCCCCCTCCACACACTCCTCTTCTCTTCCCCCAACTCCCAGCATCTTGCTGCTCAGAGTTAAGGACAATTTTTCTTTTTTTCTGCTGTGACTTACCGTCACTTGGTGAGTTTTCATCAGGGTGATTTATGGGATTACGTTTTGTCAAAGCTCTCATGAAAGCCAACAAGTCATAATTTAAAAAAAGTTGGCCTCAATTTATATCATTAGAAATGTTTCCAAAGACAGCAATAGAGACTTGCCAATGAGGCTTATGTTTAGGGTGGGCTCTTTTCAAACAGCCTAGTGGCCACTTGAAGCCACCTGTGAATCAGGAAACCAATGGGGATTTCTTATGAGATTTCACAAAAAGTCAGAAAGCACTGAACAAGAAAAATTTTAAAAAGGAAAGCACTAGAGATGCTCCATGCCAAATCCTACATCTGACCACATCTTTAAGCTACAGTTATAAAGATACACAGTTAAGTCAAGCATCGGTTGAACACAGGCCAGTCCATACTCAGACTGTTCTTGGAAAGTCTGCCCCTTGTCTGGGGTGATGAGGACAGCAGTTACCAGCAAAATAAAAAAAATAAATAAAAATAAATAAAAAAAGCCCAAAAAGAGAGATTTCTGAGCACTTGGATGAGAAAGGGATCTATAAAATATATGGGTCCCTAAGTGGAGAAACCTTAGGTTTCAACTCATCACTTAGTGTGTGAATTGCATGTTTTGTATGTGTGTTTATGTCAGTGTGTGTCTTCACTGTACAGTTCTCACCATCCATGCAGTCCCTCCAGCGTGGAAGCCGGGCATCATCATTTCCCTCCTTCCCATCATTCTGAACATCACTAGTAAATCCTACAGATTGCATTCGCATAATTACCTTATTCTGTTCTCTCTTTTTTATTTTTGCTGTAATCACGCTAGTCCAAACCATCTCCAATGTATTCCACCCACATCAGAGAGGTTAGACACACACACACACACACACACACACACACTCTGTCTTGCACACCCCGACTCTGTCTTGCACAGCCCGACTCATGGCTCCCACTTGCCTAAAACCCTCTGGCAGCTCCTGATATGATCCGGAGGCACCGTGGTACCTGAGCCCTGTCTCTCTTTCCCTCTGACGTGAACCGCGAGCCTCACTTACTCATGACACTGTAGCCACACTTTCCAGCTCCTTGACTCCTGAGAGCTGTTGTTTTATGTACCTCACCATTTCTCTTCTGTTCTTACCATGGCTTTCTCTTTTCTGAATCTTCCAAGTTTAAGTGAAATCTCAACTCAGGTATTTTGCCCATTTCATATTTTCCAACACAACAGCCTGTTCATCAAATCCCTAATGTTTTTTCTGAGTGTAGTCATGATACATTGGACTATTTCCTTACATCTCTTTGTCTGCCTTCTTCCAGTAGGCTGTGAGTTTTGTGAAAATCGGATCCATGTCTGTTCCTCCTACCACTTTTTTTTATTATCACCTGATGCATACCCATACCACACACCCAGTAACTCCAAATGAATTAACACCTCAACGTAAGGCTGGAGGCTTCTTTTGTTCTGCCAGCAGAAATTAACCCAACTCTGAGCAAGGCTGAACCTGAAGTAGCTGATCTTGCTGTCAGTTTCGGTAAAAAGACTTGATTTAGATGTTGAAAATTTATGCAAACACACCGTCCAGGTGGGTGTTTTCCTACCAGAAATGATCACCCATCTGCTCTAGCCCAGACCCTCCGGTCAGAGGCATTTTGCTAATCAAATTTTTCTTCCCACTAAATCTCTGGAAAAGATTTTGAAATGGTCAGAGCCTTAAAAATGCTTCTCCTTGAACATCAATTTTTATTATAATATATGTATACAAAAGTAGAGGTGACTACATTACTTATAGAGGATTAAACACTGGAATAAATTCTGAGGAAAGAGTTTTTAAAAGGCAGCAGTTAACGTTTTCTTAGTCAGTGGATAATGGCTTTGAGGTGCTAATCCTGTCTCTGGAGCGAGCCTGCCGCCGTTACTGTCAGCACAATTTATATATGCTTATTAAGGAGAGAATAGGCTCTTGAACATGGGCCATAATGATTTTTCTTGTAACTGGGCCATGGTTGTTGCTTCGCCACTGTTTTACTACCTTTTTATTATTTATGCTCTGCATATCCTATTCCTTTGAGAAATGAAGACAGGCCTTATGTGCAATTTTCATCACTGAACTTCTCCGTCCTAACAAAACGTGGTTCGCTAGCTCAGTACAGCTAAGAACTGGACAATCTGGGAGTAATATTTAATTTCAAGAATTAGAGAGATTTTTTTCCAGATATTTCTTTCCTATCGGTTGGTTCGTTAATGGAACTTTTAAGAAGAAACATGACAGTTTCAGGATTGGGTTGGGTTCACTGAGTTAAAACTCAGATTTTAATATTGTGAAAAAGATAAAAATCAGAACAAGGAGATAGAAAAGCCCAAGTGATTTTTAAGCTTTTTATATTTTTCATTCTACATGGCTTGCTAATTCAGTGTTACTGGTGTCTATGGAGCCTTATATTTAAAAATTATTAAAGGCTCATTTTATTTGCCACCAAAGAGAGGCTTTTCCACAGAGCAGTGTGAAGGTCACTGAACAAGAAGAACCAAAGAAGGAGAAAGAGATGATGTCATACTAGAAACCAGAACTGCTAAGAATTTAATTGTATTTTTTGCACCACATAGACAAGCAGGAGACCTAGTGGGGAGGAAGGAGGAGGTCAGACAATTATATACAGTGATATATATTTTTTTTGTTTAAAAAGAAAAAAAAGTTTGCAGAGAGGGTATTAGAACAGACCAATGATGAAAAAGAGAACACACCCAGGGTGACAGGACAGTTGTTATCAGGATCAAGAACTAGTAAACAGGTGTGAAAATTTAGTAGAGCCAAGTTCAGATTAGGGGAGAGATTTTTCACAACAGTGCAATTTGTAAGCATGGACGTCAATTAAGTATGCAGACAATTTTTCTTATGCAACAAGTACTGCCTTTTATATTTTGCTTACAAGGATTTCCTTAAAATGCCACCTAATATTTTACTATCTTGACCACAGACGTGGAAATCTGTCAAGCTGGTCGAAGGAGGCCCACACAGGTGGCCATCCAGCCTTCACACACCTGGGAAGAAGTGCAGTGAATTTTCTCAGGGCCTGATACTGGGCTTGGCTCTAATTAATATTTTCATTACTATCCTGGATGATGGGATAGGGTAAGCTTAATAAATTTTCCAGTTGCCAAATTGAGTAGTGAAGTTAGCACCTGGAAGAACTTGATTACAATTTTGAATGACCTTTTAGAGTTTCAGAAGTAGGTGAATGACAACTTAATTAAACAAGAACAGGATGCTGGGAGTGAATCTCTAGTAATGATAAAGTACTTCCTGTTGGGATTTAAAAAACAGGTTTATGTCTTTTAATTTAGTTTTTCGTCCACCCTGAAGATAGGGGCAGTTATCACTCTGGAGATAGAATGGCCCGAGGTTGGCTTTCAGTGGAGTGGACAGAGAATCTGGCTAGATGAAGAGAGAGCAGCTGGGTGGAAGGGTGAATCCCTTTATACATCTGCAAACGAGCTTCATACTCAGAAGTTTAAAGAAGATTATAACTTTGGTAATGAGGACTAATTTTACTGGTATTCTCAAAATTGGACATGCCTTGAATTGTGCTCAATTCAGTTATCCGAAACGTAAGTGCAGGGAAAACGGCATAGACTATGGAAACTATCAGCACAGAAAAAGGAAGGAGAAAGTGACACCCTTCACTTCAAACACAAGTTCATGGTCATTATAGGAAGAATGGTCAGCAGCTCTTCATTATTTTAATTGGTGGTAGGAAGATATACAGTCACTTTTTTTTTTTTTTAAGAACATTTCTTGTAAAGAAAAACATCACCATGAAGCTGAGATGTATCACTTTCTACTATGATGATTTAGGACAATCATTGCCTCTAAACCCTTCGCTGTCTTCCTTCCTTCCTTCCTTCCTTCCTTCCTTCCTTCCTTCCTTCCTTCCTTCCTCCCTCCCTCCCTCCCTCCCTCCCTCCCTCCCTTCCTCCCTTCTTCCCTCCCTCCCTCATCTTTTTACTCACTTCTTTTTATTTTCTCTTCCTCTCTCCCTCTTAACCTTTCTTTCTCCCTTTAGCCCTTTCTCTATCTTTCACTTCCCTTTATTTATTTTTTCTTCTACTTTTAAAAACCTCTGTCACTTTGGCTAATGAGAACAATTTCTGCTGAGACTAAAATTTTCACAGAGTAAAACTGACTTAAGAAAGTTGTGTTATGGAATATAGCCCTTTAACATCACTTCTGTGTTTTTACTACATGTGATTGCATATCAAGGAGGTATTGGGATTCTTGTGTCTTCAAAGGTGATGTTGTTACAAGTTGAAAGTACCTTCCAGATCCAGAGAATAATAAGGCATTGTCCTCCCATGTAGGGCAAATGGCAGGCGATCATACCCGGCTGGAGTTTCACAACATAGAGACTGGCATCATCACAGAACGGCGGTATCTGTCTTCTGTCCCCTCCAACTTCATTGGACACCTTCAGAGTCTGACCTTCAATGGAATGGCATACATTGACTTGTGCAAAAATGGTGACATAGATTACTGTGAGCTCAATGCCAGATTTGGCTTCCGGAACATCATAGCAGACCCTGTCACCTTCAAGACCAAATCCAGCTATGTTGCCTTAGCTACATTGCAAGCCTACACTTCTATGCATCTTTTCTTCCAGTTCAAGACAACATCCCTAGATGGACTAATTCTATATAACAGTGGGGATGGAAATGACTTTATTGTGGTTGAATTAGTTAAAGGGTAAGTATATGTCAGTCCAATGACAAATGAAACTTTTGGAAAATGTACCTTAATTTCCAAAAGTAGGCATTAAACAGAATCTATTGGCTTGCAAGGTCATGGGCAGGGGCAGATGGGGTGGAGGGGTATACATATAATATATTCATTTATATCACTTAAGTATCTTATAAATTAGTACGGGTGTTGTGCAGTCTTCTACATCTACATTTCCATGTATTTATCTGAGACATAAATAACACCAAGTTCTAACTATTTTATGCTCTACACTTCAAATGTGGATTGCCCCACCATCACTATGCACACTATACACCTGCGAAAGAATCTCTCCACATTTGTAGGCTAACCTGTGCTAAGTTCAACAGCTGATTCAAGGGCTCAGATTACTTCAGTTTCACAAAGTCCCGTTTAACTCAAGCTGAATTCTATGTCCAAGTTCCTTGAAGAATTTAGAAAGATATTTGTGAAATTTCCTTGAAACTGCGATAAAGGTTTCATGTAATTTGATTGATTTTAGTATTCATTCATTCAGTGAGCATCACTGCATATTTACAGTGGGCTTGGCACATGTGCCCATTTCGGATTCCACCCAACCCAAGGCGTGCATGTGCAGCCCGTGGGCCCCAGGGGATACAGGTGAACAGAGAACAGAGCACTGTGACGACCGTCCACGAGGCTTAGGAGAGTGTTTAGGGTAATTATGAAACCTGGGAGGCGGAGAGTGGATATTCGAGCTGAGACTTGAAGGATGAGAGCAGGTTTGCACAGAGAAGCAGACACGCGAGGCGAAGGGGAACGCAGTGCAGGAAGCTGAGGAGAATCGCCAGTGGGTGTGGGCAGCGGAGGAAGGGGGGGTGGTGAAAATGGGGACTGCGTAGTGAGAGAGAGCTATCTTCCAAAAGCAGAGGACAGACTCATTTTTTAAATTACTTTCATGATTCTTTATAGTGATGACAATTAGAATCCTCCTTACTGACCCAGAATAGTGCTTTTGGCCTCATGACTTCTAGCAACGATGGAATCACCTGAAAAAAAAAATTTGCCCATTTGTGATAGCGAGTGTGACTCCCACCAAAACTTAGAAAGTGATGGCGTTTCTCACCGTTCCTTTTTGCCCAGGTACTTACATTATGTGTTTGATTTGGGAAATGGTGCTAACCTCATCAAAGGGAGCTCAAACAAACCTCTCAATGACAATCAGTGGCACAATGTGATGATATCAAGGGACACCAGCAATCTCCACACTGTAAAGATTGACACGAAAATCACAACGCAGATCACCGCAGGAGCCAGGAACTTGGATCTCAAGAGTAAGTGCACAGGGTCAGAGCAGCTAATGTGAACCCCGGGGCCTCCACTCACTTGGCAGGTCTTCTACTATGTGTGTGTGTGTGTGTGCGCGCGCGCGCACGTGTGCGTGTGCGCACCTTCTAAAAAAACTGACTAGAATTTTATTTCCTGCACATAATTAATAATACAACACACAGCCTCTGTTCCGTCTTTAATGTGGCAGAAACATGCATTTTTAATAGCAGTTCAAAACACGCAACACCTAAGAATTGCATGCATGATTAAATTTTAAAGAGTGAGAAAAATGTAGTCTTCGTTTCGATATTATGAGGAAAAATAGACATTTGCAAGTTTCCTTAGTCACACAGTTTTCAATTGATGTGGAGTCAAGGTAAACAGATACCTCAGGACTTTCTTCAATAGCTTATTACATTTTTTTCCTTGGTGAGGTTTCCTCGATACTTAGAGACCCTCGGACTAACCAGGGTCTGAGCCTGGCTTATCCCTTTGGACCTCCGACCGTGAATCCTCCCACCACACGCACACCAGTGAGAATGTTTCTTTTACCAGCTTCTAAGAAAGTTTTAGCAGACATTCTCTTGCCTTATTGATACTTGATTTCTCCAGTGACCAATACAAATGCCTTAGAAAACATGTCATTAATAAGAGAAAATAACAGAGGTTTCCACCCGAGAGGGTTTTTGTGAATTACTAAGAACAGGTCTGTATATTCCATCACATGTAACACTACAACAAGCATTGGGCGAGGTATCATTAGCATTTTATTAAGCATTTAGGAAACCTGAGCTGGAAATAACTTGCCCATGGATAAAAATACGGCTATAGTTGAGCAAACACCTGCCTCCGGTTCTGACACACACCCCGTCCGTTGCTGCCTCTCCTCCCCTGATGCAGCCCCTGGTCCTGCAGGGATCCTCCTGGTCACTCATATGGCAAGAACTGTTCATTCACTGATGGGATCTTTCTCCTTGATTCACATAGAATTTACATGGGGCAGTTAGGGGACTGGACAGAGAAAATGCAACAGAAGCCTTTGTAGAGAAAAATCCTCTTGCAAAATAGGATAAAAGTGTTTCACTTTCTGAAATTGTAGAATTTATTTACAGTCCCAGCACTGTATTCACCCAATACCTAAAATGGGTGGTAATGACTGTCTCCCTTCTTTCAGAGTGAGCCTCTTGTTGACTTCAAAGGCATCTTGTTTATGCCCACAAATCTAATAGCTTAGCCCAGAGAGTAAAACGCAGTTCAAAGGAAATGCCGTTTAACAGGCGAAATCTTTTTCTCGTCTCTGACCGAAGTGGATGGGATGCGTTTTCTGCCCCTGATTTGTGGGTGCCCAGTGCTGCACAGAGGGATCAGATAGTAATTGTCAAGGGAAAGGGAGAGACGGACAGTCAGTGTGCTGGCCAGGCCAGCTACCAGCTTAAAGCAAAATGCTGTCCTGTCTGCATAAGGGGAGACCTCAGTAAGCGTCACCAGAAACTGGACACCATGTCGGGGACGCAAATGGCTGGAAAAGAGCAGTTCGCGGTTGGTCGAAGCACGTGCCCTGCACAGCCCTGCGCGTGGAGGGTACAGAGAAGCAGTGGGAGGTAGGTGGGCGTTACCTCGTCAGACAGTTAGGGCCCTGTCTCCGAGAAGTAAATATTTGCTCATTGGTCATTACACAGAGAAATGGGGGGTGGGTTTCGAGTATAAGGTTGTTTCTGTATAGGAAGGAACTTTTGCAAATCTAAGGAGTCCTCAGAACTGAATTTTATTCAAGCATTGAGCATTTATGACTCTGAAGATAAGAAAGGCTTTATCCATGATAAGAATTAAAAACTAGAACTATGAATTGAAAATAGCATATTATATAATGGGAAGATCATAGATATTAAAATTGGAGCGCGTTTGTGTTCAAACAAACAAACGATCAAAACATTTTAATTTGAGATGAATTTCCCAGGTGAATAAAGAGATTTCGTATTAATGGCTTTCACCTCTTGAAGTTGCTTGTGTTTACAGACGTATCAGACTGCCAAAAGTGAGAGCAAGTTCCTAAAATTAAAAATGAAAAGCCAAAGGTGTGGGCTCGTAAATAGGACGTGTGATCCAATGGCAGCAACAACCCCAAGGAGGCCCTCTTGCCATGTGTGTCATCGACTAGAGAGGGAGGTTGTGGGGCACGACATCTAGCTCCCATCACCCCGTGCGGCCGTGGCATTGGTCGGATGGCCAGTGTGTGCTGAGCACGTGCTCTGTGTTCATTCAGCAGGAGCACCGGTGGGAAGAGGGCGGCCGGGGCCTGTGATGACGAGCTTCCTCTCCCTTGGACAAGTCTGAGGTTAAGGCAGCATTTAAAGGACACAGAAGAACATGAGGCCGTGGAGTCACTTCAGGGCACTGAAATTAATCTGAGGGCAACAGGAAGACTTTCGGAAGAAGGGATGTTTAAGGGCTGTCTGAAGGATGACGTCCACTGGAATCGGGGGGCTTATTCACGTAGGACACCTGCTGTGTAAACCCTTCACTCTCCTGAGCAGCACTGAGTCTTTGCTGGTCATGTGGGAGTCAAACCTCCAAATGCAGGCAAAACGAAAGCTGATCTTTCTTGGTTGATGCTTTTATTTCATGCACTTTTTGCCTAAGAGCGGTAGCCTTTTAGGATTACAAGGAAATCATCAGATTTATTCTACACACTGCTTAACATCACTGCAATGATCTTTAGTTCTTCTCAAAGTGAGGTCAGCCACCTTAACCACATCATGTGGTGGGATTTACAAAATGCAGATTCATGAACCCCACCTCAGACAGACCGAGGCAGTAGTCACTTGACAGTGATGTGCAGGGACTAGCAGGTCTCTGTATTTTTAAGGAGCACTCACTAATCTAAACATTGTTTTTCAAAGTTCAAAAAACAAAAAATGCAATGTCTCTATTGAGGCCAAATTTAACTCGCTTTTAAAATTTCAGTACAAATTCTGGCTTTGCACACCCCCCCCCCACACACACACACACGCACACACTGAGTTTTACTTTTTACTTTTGTCTTATTTTATTTCACCAGTCCTGGGCTGAGGAGATATTGGATGCCTCGGGATTATTTCAAATATTTTTTTTTCTCAAGTTACCATCCCTTAAAAAGACACTAGAGGGCAGCATATGGTCACAAAACTTGCCATCTGGGATTCAGGAGGGGGAAAACCTCAGCAGACTCGTCTGGTGATAGGAAGCAGAATTTCTTTGTTTTCCGCCATCCCAGATCTTATTATAAAGTTAGCCTTTATAATAATGCATGATTTTGCCGGTGGCTCTGTTTTATTGGACAGAACGGACCTTACTGTAGAAATTTGAAAGCTAGGGGGCTTGTACCCATTCCCAACTTCGACTTCCATGGGGATGGTCAGAAACGGGCAGGCACTGAACGCTCTTTCTCTGGAAGAGAGAACTCCGTGCAGGTGACCTTGTTCAAATGACCTGTCATGACACTGCCGGGTTCTCAGGGGGTGCGTGTCTCTCCCTGCTGACACAGTTCTGCTTTCATCTGCATTTCCCAGCTGTTTGTGTTCCGTCCCCTCCGGCTATTGTGTACAAGCTGCAAGGTGCATTGAAAAGAACAGCACACATTTGCTCTCTGGGATGAATCCCTCGCACGGCCGTACACTCCTTGTGGGACTCCTGAGCCTGCCCGCTTCAAGGAGACCAGGCCTGTGGGATGCCTCCTTTTGGTCCTTCTCTTGTTCCATAGTTGGCCAATGTGTACGTTTGTATGTGATTGTATATGGGAAGGAGCTAATATTGATTGATTTCTTATTAAATGCCAAGTAGATTTAAATCAGGTTATTTTACTTAATCCTAGCCATTACCTGGGGATTTGAATCGAGGTCAGTCTTGTTCATTCATTAATCTAGTTCAAGAACAAAGATAGGGAGGAAGGATCATCTTTGGCCTCCGTCTTCCATGGGCATCTTTCTTTACAGCATTACTTGTTTAGCCTTCAGCAAATGGAGGATACTTTAGCTGGTGGGTGGGGTGGGGATTTCTAGGTGACTAGGATACAGTGCCCTCAGGTGGCCACTTGGCAAAACTACTTAAAAGTGAATCATTCATTTCTAGGCCACATCTAGGGGAGCGCAGGTAGACTCTGCCCTTTGTTCTTCCTCTCAGACTCCAGATTCCTTGCCCAGAAAGGCTTTGAGCAGCTCTCCCTCTGTCCCGTGCCCTCTCTCTTCCCTTCGTACCACCACCAGCTACTCATTCACTGTCCTGTTATCCCTCCTTAAATCCACCTTGAATGCAATCACCTGCTGTTGTTTATCATGCTACCACACCACTGTTTCCCTAAGGAGAGAGGGATCAACCAGGACTTTCCTTCCAAATGTATCCAGTCTCTAAGCAAAGATTGGAAGATAATGCAAGCGTGCCTCTGTCCGGGATGTAGTGTTTTCCCCCCAAATTGAAGACAAGAACCTCCACCAGCGCAAGGATTACAATTCGCTTGATTGCGGTGGTCTCGAACCGAACCCGCAGCGTCTCTGAGCTCTGCCTGTGGCATTCTTGCTTGTTTCATCGTGATCTCACACTAGTCCCTGTCCCTCAGGTACCTGTGCGCTCGGTCCTGAATGTAACACCTCTGCCCTGTGGTCTGCCCTTTAATGTTGCTATTTGATAAGTCATTGATCCAGATTCCACACCCAAGTCCTGATCATATTTAAATAAGCCCAGGCTTTGCCCATTCAGCCATATGACATCTGATGGTTCACTTGCTCAAATAAGAAACTAGAAGAACAGTCTGACTTTGAGCCCGGCCTGAGAGCAGGAGATGGCAAGCTCCCTCTGTCTGGTTGATTAGGGCTAGTGTTAGTAGACTGATTGATTGATTGATTGGTTGATTAATTTTTAGTTTGTAAGAGAAAGAGATTTACTCCCATTACTTCAGTTAATGGGAGATTACTTTAAGGACCCATTAGGAAGTAAGAAAGACGAATCGTTTCAGCGGCTGAACCATGAGGCC